GACAGAAAAGTCAACACACCACAAGCATACCCACAGCACAATCTCACACATCGCTGACGACCTGCGGCTCCAGACAGAGACCTCCTCTTGACATCTTGCAACACAGTCGCCACTTACTAGAATGACTCTTGCAGAATGCAACGTGACCATAGCACCAACTCATGATACTCTACGCACATCCTTGTATCTACTCACTACCAATTACCACTGCAATCGCTTGTCACTCATTCTGCCTCAGTTCTAGTAGCGGTGACGCATGCGAGCCTTAGTCGTTTACACTCTTTCTCCCCGGCGTGTCGGACCGCAGCTAACAATTATCTCCGTGTGCATTTCATTCTCAGCAATAGCCTAGCCTCCCTGGCGTATACGACCCATCTGCTGTCCTTAACATCAATCAATTCATTCATGGATGTAGAAGACTCGAAACAACTTCAGAAGTAATCACGACGAAAATTTTAACAAAATTACGCACTAACAACAAGACACGAAAACAACGAGTAAACACAATGAATCCAAAAAACATCAATTGATATGACACACCACACATATATACAAACAGTACACACAAACTCGCGGATCACATCTTGATGGAATTCCTTTGAAGAATCGCAGGACTTACACCAGTACGCCTACAACCCTTCTCAGGTTGACCATTGTAATTTGTGGAATGTCCGGACACAAACAAGATTAACCAACAATCACATTGATGGGAACTCACACAAGTATTTAACAGAAACATATGTACAATCAACACATCAAATGTTGTGGATTCTGGCACGACAAACTACCCTTGAAGAACTGTAGGACTTACAGCAGTACGCCTACATTCCTTCTCAGGTTGATGATCCAAGTGGAAGTCGTCCGGACACAAACATAATTACCAACAGCTAGATGACAGATGATATCAATTCAGTATATACAATATGAACATATTTACAAAATCACACACCAAGCACAGTGGACTGCTCATTGATGCGCTACCCTTTGAAGAATTGTAGGACTTACAGCAGTACGCCTACAACCCTTCTCAGGTTGACGCCCTAGGTTGGAAAATCGTCGCAGAGTTCATTTGCTGACTTCCTTCCATGAGCTATATCCTCAAATCTGAACGGCAACACGCCCATGTCATTGTATCGTAGAATATAGATGACGAACAAACACACGGCATATCTCATCAACCAAGTGTAGAAACAGAGTAATTTACACCAAAGATAATAACATTCAATTAGTAACTTGAAACTAGATATGCCTTTATTCGTGCAAGTCAATTTAACAATTACTCTCTCGTTTACACTTGGCTTATTCTCAACAAACTGAGCAATATCTTTTGTCAATCACGTCTCATAAACCGTTAATGCCCAGCTCTCGCTGCGCTCGGGCCCACGCTGTTCTTCGAAGATTTCAGAAACGCTTAGTTATAACGGACGCAAAAACCAAAATACCGATCTGCAGCTTGATATTTCTTTATTGTTACACCAACATATAAAAGGAATAAGCGAACTAAGGTCTGAAAACAAATATTACAATAATAAATCATTGTATTACTTCTGACGATGTTTCACTCTTCTTTCTGAACAGCGACCGATGAGACGATGACTGTCGTTTTGATGCCTCCGCGAAAATTGGGGAAGTTGATTTTGAGCAAACAACCATGAATTGATCGTTCAATCCTCAACTCCATTGACATCTTTCGTCCTTTCAAACGCACCAATACTATCATAGTCATTGCAGAAGATACGTGAGTTGATGGGCATCTGTTTCATTGTGGATGAAAACACCACCGATGACTGAGTGACACAAGGTGATTCACTTAGCGGTGGATCAGAATCTGTTCTTTTTCGGCATTCAGATAGTTGTCCAACTGCAAGATTACCACCACTGCTGTCTTTCACTACTAGTTCAGGCTTAGCAGTAGCATCTGATGATAGGTGGGCTACATGCTGATCACTCACACTGACGGTCTCACAAATATCCATAACTTCTGCAACTGCATTTATTTCTACTTCACGTTCAAGTTGTACAGAACCTTTGTTCAACTTAGCAGTAGTAGGCATTCTCCTCATTTCATCATGATCAACCAAAGACAACTGTGAAGTATCATGATCATTATCAAGAATATTCACTTTACCGTCAACTTCATCATTTTCAAACTCTTTAATAACAGAAGTAGACAATTTTGGTTCCTCCTCACAAATCATTAAAGGTTTTATATCTTCACTCTGACTAGTAATACCTTGTAAACTTGTAGGGTCAGAACTGCACTCTGAAGCAGCAACTCTATTCTGTGACACTCTATTCAACAATGGCTTACCAGTTGCAACTACAGACTTCTTCACCGCACCGTTATCGTCACACAATTCGGAGTCAGACCTGGAGTTTACATTTAGCTTATCACTGAACTTGCTCACCGGTTCACAGTTCACTTCTGTATGCACCTCTTGCACACGTGTAAAACACAACCGTGTTTGTCTTGCATCTTGTAACTTATCTGTTGAGGATGTACTACGAAACCTGTTACACTCACTAGGTCTATATGCATTACTAGACATCATGGAGTCTTCTCGATATCCACCTCTCTGAGGCCCTTTCGTCATCAATGAGTGCGTTTTACCCTCAGACTGCTCTATTCTAGGGGTGAGATCTAATAGACTGGAAAACTTGCTCATAGATTGATTGACGCTATCTTTTACCAGTTTCAGGATATCATCAAATTTTGGCTCGATACCCTCATCCTCCATACGGGAGCTCATCTTCACCCACTTCCTTTGCAGTCGAGTAGGTAGACGTCTTGCTATTACTTCTAGTATAAAACTCGAGTTGAGGTCACTCATGCGATTCATCGAAATCATTCCATTCTTGTAAATTAGCAAATTATCTAAAAACTCAGTGAGTGCCTGGGAGTCATCCTGTAATTGACCACCATTACCTTTAACAGCCTCGAATAATTTCCCTGCAATCATCGAAGGTCTTCCAAACCTTTGACGTAATATGCTCATAGCCTCGTAGTAGCCCTCTTTTGGCTTCATAAACTTACAGCACTGTATAGCTCTTGAAGCATCTCCAGTGCAATATCTCATCAAATACATTAACTTCAATTCATCATTTAATAAAAATCCACTCAACATGATCTCAAACTCCTTTACAAATTGTAAATAATCAGCCGGGTTTCCATCGAAACACCGTGATTCAAATTTAGGGAGTTTGATGTTCCTATTATCCCTGAACGGCGAAACAGTAACATCAACCATGTCATGCTTAACATCAGACACATCGTTACAATTAATAGACAAGTCACAATGACTTACTTTCCTGTTTGCATCCAAGACACTCTGTCCCTTCTTTGACCCAGGCATTGTTGAACTTGACCCAATTCCAAAAAGTTCCAGATATTGCTTGTTCAAAGAGGACTTGGCCGGCACCAGGAAAGATGAACGGCGACTATCCAAACTTTCACCAACTGTTTGAATCCTTCAGATCTGTTTCAAACGTCAGAAACTGTCAGTCACGTCTCATAAACCGTTAATGCCCAGCTCTCGCTACGCTCGGGCCCACGCTGTTCTTCGAAGATTTCAGAAACGCTTAGTTATAACGGACGAAAAAACCAAAACACCGATCTGCCGTTTGATATTTCTTTATTGTTACACCAACATATAAAAGGAATAAGCGAACTAAGGTCTGAAAACAAATATTACAATAATAAATCATTGTATTACTTCTGACGATGTTTCACTCTTCTTTCTGAACAGCGACCGATGAGACGATGACTGTCGTTTTGATGCCTCCGCGAAAATTGGGGAAGTTGATTTTGAGCAAACAACCATGAATTGATCGTTCAATCTTCAACTCCATTGACAATTGCTATTCTAGAATATTCTATGTATATAAACATATATATAACTTAGAGCCAAGAGAGGAAATTATCGAAAAGTATATTCTTAGCTCAATTATTTTGTTTTTATAAATCTGTAAGTGTTGACTCTACTCAGGATAGACCTTACTGAAGACTTCTCCTCCTAGTACCCTTATTAGTATTCTGCCCAGCGTTTAAGTACTGATTTACGAGTTCAAAGTAAAGAGGATGGGGAGTGGATAGTGTGTCTTGATGAGAGTTGTATTTTTACTCAGATTAGATATCAACTTTAATAAGTAAGAATGTAACACAACTTATCTGTTGCCTGGCTGGGTAGTAAGGTCTATGAATGCGCTTAATGGTAGCACAACAAGGGAGCGAACCACGTGTGTACAGTCGCGCTGGAAATCACAAGATGGTATGGCGCCAGTGCGAATGACTGTGTTTAAACATGAATTCAAACATTCAAGGTACACTACAAATCAAAGTGGGTAGTACAAAAGTTATGCAGAGTAGCGATGTCTAAGAGCCTCTTGCAGTTCCTTATAGGAGTCTTTAATGTTGGTTTTAACAGATTTCCGTTCATGAATTCATTGTGAATGTTGCCGATTGATGATAACTACCTTCAACCATCCCATATTCATCAATGACAGCTGTATATATCTGTAGGCCATTACATTCCGTATAAGCATGTTTTATTATTTAAATAAGTATATTGTTCAGACAGAAGAGTAACACCAGATCAAAATGAGATTTGCAAAGTAATGCGTGCGCTCTGATAGGTTGTTCCGGTTCATCTTGATGGTCATTCTCTTGGGTCGCTATTCTTTACTCTGATTAAGGTGAGAATAAGATCAGATGTAAGCGTGATAATGGCGTTTGATTTATTCGTGGACGAAAAACTCAGGAAGCACTTTCGTGATTAATAATACAAGGAACCAACCATGCTTCAGTGTATATACCTTAGGAGAGCGAAACCTAGAGAATAGGAGTTAAATTGGATCATGAGAGGTTTCAAAGGTAGTAAAATCAACTCAGCTGTCTGAATAGCTATCGGGACTATGTTGAAACCCTGGAAGCTCGCAAGAATCTAACACAATCTAAGAGCGCACGCTTTGAAAAACCCGCGAACAGTCGTTGGTTTCAAATTCTTTGCAAATTTCGCTAAGCTTGGGTAAGATATATAAACTAACTAACTAAGTATTACTGTGGACTACCTCTGTGTGCGCTGTTACTCTGCCCCTTTCTCGTTGTATATCGTTTGCCGAATAGTGACAGTTTTGACTTCGTCTCCACATGTCTGGGGACTGCTCAAAACTGTTACAATTGAAACTTGGTGATTTCTCTTAAGTATTAATATTTTATTTTTATATATTTTTTATATTTACCTTATGTGAAATTTAAATTGGGATTCATGATGCTGGGTTTCATAGTGTAGAAACCTGTGCACTTGTCAAGGTACAGTTAACTGCATAATTGCGCACGTGGTGACTCGCTTGATTAATTAGTTTCTACTTTCTGCACCACCTTACGCAAGTTACAGAGCAATATATCTTATGCTTATTACTAAGTACTTCGTAAGAGTATATGATGTCCAGTCATTTTGATGGATTCACGTATAGAAACGTAACTGATATGCCCATAGCAACCCCTAGGAGAAACTGGGACATTTTTTGCAGCATGTTAGAGGCATGCGTCCTCCGTAAATCATTTTTACTGCATACATTTGCCGTAAATAATCTACTCCATTACAACAAATGTCAGTTTTTCTTCAGTACACTTTGATTGGTTTCTCGAAGTCACTTCTCTAGGGTTCTCCCTCACCGTCAAATGGTGTATTTTAAATTCATACACAGCATTTATTAGTTGTAATAAGTTTTGACCATGCGCCTACATCTTGCAGTAGCATGTTAAAGGATTACATTTCTAACAAGATATCGTTAATAGTGTGTTAGGTTTCCCAGTTTGATAGTACGCACGGGAAAGTGGGTATAGCATAGGGTAAATGGTCGGTTTTAGCTTATGAAACGGGCAAAATGTGAGCAAAAGGCAACGTGAAGAGCTCTTTTCCTCCATAATCCCACACTTCTTATTTCCTCACGATCTTACCCACGTTTCCAATCAATTAATTACTCACTTTTATTCCATTTAAACATGTTCCCTATGTCAGTTCAAGGAATACTACCACGTTTTCCCCTATTTACCCATGTTCACTAGAAAATCCACCCATCAGGTCCGCAGAAATACCTGTTCACTCTTTGTGTAAATTCTTTTATGAGACATCTTGAGGAAAACAGATATAGCGATAACTTAAGTTATAGTTGAAAATGAATAACACGTAGTCGCTTCATTCACCTCAGGATTAGTTTTTAGTTGTTTGGTTTCTATATGCAAAACACTGAACGTCTTAATTAACACAGTTTTGTGTTTTTTTTTGTTTTCCCTCACTCATACTGTAGCCGCATTGTGTAATGTACTTGTGTAAGTTTTATGATATATATTGGAGGTGTGACTTGCAACTATCATTTTGATTGCATCCATGTTGCTTATCACTTTATCTGAAGGCTTTCTTGTCTCTCATTTGACTGAAAATCGTTGCGTGTAGATGTAAACAATAACAGCTTCAAATAACAGTAGGCTGTTGCGTGTAAGTATATTAACGTTCATATGTCAGTCGAACAGCCTAAATGAATGAGAAGGCATATAGACTGAGATGCTCCGTTATATAAGCTCATGAACCCATATCTTAAACTATGAATTTCTCAACTTTTTATCACCGTATGCAATGTAATACACCTCATCCAATAATATTTATCTTGCTATTTTTGTTCTTTTATTATTTCAAATACTCACCTGCCACATGTGGTACCTAGGAAAAGGGGTTCCAGGGAAGCTACCATACACCAAGTGATCTCCGAGAGATGCAATCTTGATAACCTCCAAAGAGGGACTACGGAAAAATTTGGTAGAATACTTCAAGTAACATTTCGGTCGGTGTATAATTGCCGAACTTCCAATCCGAACCGGAATGGGATGTAGACATCGGTTCTATAGCTGTAGCCAAAGTTGCAAAAACTGTCTTTAATTTAAAGTGAAGCAAAATTTCAGGGTCTTGTGACTTAACTAGATAAACAAAGGTGTTAACTAGTGTATGGAATCTTACATAGTTTCATCGGACCGGTGTAGATTGTTGGTCACCAGAGCTTAGGAAAATGAAGTTAAACCTTTGTGAGAACTATGTGGAGATAGGCTTGACTAACATGGTACCTAAGATCCTAGTTTCCATAGTCATGAAAGGACTGAGTCATGCTTGAGATGAACAAACGAGAGAAAGCCAGTTGGTCTCCAAGTTTGGATAAGAGTATATTGATCATGTCTTCACTCCTCATTATGTTCCGGAACATACATACTGTATGGAACATACCATAATCCGATACTTACCATATTCTTTGATCTAAAGGTGGCATTTAATTTCGTCGGTCGAAACCTTCTGTGTCAATGTGGGATTCCAAACTTAGTGTCGAGTGTTATTCTAATCAGGGCACTCTAGTAAAATGCATGCTGTCATATAAGTTGTTGACCAGCTGGCACTCAGACACCCAACAACAGTCTAATTCACGTATTATTTGAGGGCTAATTGTACCACTCACTAGGCCGAAGTCTGTCTGTGTGGATTCAACATAGAACTTGGCACCGAAGTGCCAAGGCCGAGGTAGATGAAATGAGATTCGAACCTAGGACCCATTGGTTAGGGCTTCATTGATATAGACTACAGACGTTATGGTTCTTTTGGATGAAATCATTGACAAACTACAGGGTCTTCTGAATAGCATGAACGGTATATAGCTCATTTCTACCGTAAGTACCCTCCTTCAATCTCTTAAGTGGAGCAATATAATAAGTAATACTGTGACTAAGCGTGGGTCTTAGGTATGGATAACAGGTCGATTGACAAGTTTATAAAGCTTCTTCGATTGCACTGGCTAAGCCACATATTTTCAGTCACTGACTAGTACCGTTATCTGAAATAAGATAACTTTGGAAAATGTCAGACCGGGCCAGACTTAAACAATACATCAATCCTTGAATTCACTTATTATTGATGTAGACATCACAGGCAGGTCTAGATTGTCTGACATGGGTTATTGTTAGGAAACAAGACCTAATGACAATCAAATGCATTCACTCCTTGTCGCCGAAATCCTGAAAGTGTTCTCCAGCCTCCTAATTATTATTATTATTATACAGAGTCTTCTCAACACCTTAAGCAGAAGTCTTTGGATGTTTAGCATGCTGCAGGAATGGGCCACACCGACTTCTAGCCTAAAGATAGGGAGTGAAGCAGTAGAATGTTTTGATCACTTCACTTATTCGGGAAGTTGCATCAACCCTAATGGGCTAATTGCCGACGAAGTCTCATCAAGGATATAAAAGGCTCATTTGGCACTTGCTAACTTCATTCATAGATGTGATATCCAGCTATTGACCAAAGGACCTGCGTACTGCACACCAGTTTTCCATGTCCTTCTGAATAGCTGTCATGCGTTGCCATTGGAGAAATGAAAAGGCTAGCTGTCTTTGATCATAGGTATCTGCGTCCTATCTTCCGTGTCGGGGTGTAATTTGATGATTAATATTGAATCTAGGCATGGTATCAGGTAATAAGGATGGGGCAACCGATTAGGTTGTGAAGCTAAATCGGTTGTGATGGCTAAGACACATGTCATACATACTGAACCATCGCCTTCCTCGATAGGCATTGCTAGCTGACATAGGATCAGGTTGGAAAAGAGCTAGAGGTGGTCAAACCAAAACCTGGGATTATTTCATGAAATCTTTGACAGTTAGTCTGAGCCACATAGAGTATAGTGTAGACTGTGTGGTTGGGGTCCTTGGGATTCTAAGAATCAATGGCTAGAGACAATCGGCGATATGTTTTTTTCATATTGCTCTTCTTTCCTCCTCACTTTTTTGCTTAATCTAATACAGTTGAATCGCTTGTTTCTCTCTTTTGTCTTCCTTTTTGTGCTACATGGAGAGTGGCAACTTGGACCGCTACACTTGTGTGCTTAGTTTTGGACTGAGATTAAGTCAGTCATTATTCTCTCCCGTATATCTTTTTCCATAGTTCCATCATAAAATAAATTTATTTAATAACGATACACTGGTATAGTATTATTTACCCGCGTTGGTTATTCTGCACTCTGATAGATGACTAGCTTAAAGAAGAACAAAGCAATCGCAATTCATACAGTAACACAATTATACTATAGGGTGGGACCGAGCTTCACTTCTAAAAAGTGATATAGTTAGGCTGTAGGAGAGGTTGATCAGTGAATCTCTTTTTATCATATCTACACCAAACACTTGCAATAGAAACGAAGAATCGCCAATACCTGAGATATGAAAAAAATATATTATTCCTGAGATCAAAGGATAAGATATAGTGGAAGTGCATAGAGATCTTAAAGTAATGTGAGCACCTGATGTTATTATGAAGCATAAATTGTACTGTATCCTTGTGTGTTTGTATCAAATAAAATTATTCTATATGGTGGAATTATACTCAACAATACAGTGCTCAACTTCTATTCATAGTATTGCATTGGGTAGCTGCTTTTTGTCTAACCGCTATCCAAACACCCTTTCTGGCATGGTAGGACCTCAAGAGACAGGTTATTGTTATCCGAATTGATAACAACCAGTGGTGTCCGACAGAGATGTCCACTTTCCCCATTTCTGTTTAACTTCATCATAGATATGCTAATGGAAGTATCCTTAACTGAACGTAACGACTTAGGAATCGACTTGTTACCAGGGAATAATCTTATGGACTTAGAATATGCAGATGACATAGTCCTGTTAGGGGAGGATGCTGACAGAATGCAGAGTCTTTTGAACACCTTGAGCAGCAATCTTCGTATGTTTGGCATGCGACTTGCCCCTGTAAAATGTGAGATGCTGCTACAGGACTGGACTACGTCAACTCCTAGTTTAGTGATAGGGAGTGAAGTGATAGAACATGTTAACCACTTCACCTATTTGGGAAGTTGTATCAGCACCAACGGACGATTGGGAACGAAATCTCAGCACGGATCCAAAAAGCTCGAGCTGCTTTCGCTTGTGGCGTAGACGTGACATCCGGCAATCAACCAAGGGACGTGTGTACTGTCCAGCGGTTCGTTCTATCCTTCTCTATGGCATAGATTGAATAGATTCACTTCGGCGGAAAGTTCTACTTTGGTAGTAGTCATACTGTCTGGTAATATTTTGTGTTCAGATTGTGTATATTTTCGTTTCTGTGTAGACTGTTTGACCTATCTGGCGAAGTTTGTGATTATTTTTTTTAGAAAGAAATGTCTACATGGAGTGCTGGCGATGTTTCTACTGAAGTAAGTGCATATTTAAATGTTATTGAAAAAAAAATGTAATCAGTTTTATGCTGTTATTTTATTTTATTTATATGAATTGTTTTGGTAAATGATTTATTGTCTATGTCTTGAATGAATAATCTCGGTGTTTCATTTCATTACTTGTGCTTGTAAATATCATATGAGCTAAATATAGTTGTGCATCATATATTTGTAGAGATGACTTGAATATGACGGGGGTGGGTGGGTGATGGGGTAACTCCTCCAGCCTACACATTCCTTAATATCTGATAGATTTTGAGTATTTGCATACAAGCACCAGTACGCATTAAGCTTACATATAAGCTTTTTTGTTGTGTAGTTTAAGATTCCAATATTTTCATTCTTTATTATTATTATTGCTCCCTTGGGTTTCTAGTGGAACATAGGGCTTCAACTTTACGTCTCCACTTACTTCTGTCTTCTGCTGTACTTTTCACCTGCATCCATGTTAGTCCATACTCTTTCAACTCCTCTTCACACTATCTCCTCCATGTCACCCTTGCACTGACGTCCCACTCGCCGCTTCCCTTTCGACCTGGTTCCACTCGAGCAATGGCCTGAGACGCGATGTCACTCAGCGGCCTCCTCAGCGAGTGTCCAATCCATCTCCACTTTCTCCTGCATATTTGTTGGGCGATTGGTTCTTGTTTTGTTTGTTTTTCCATAGTTTCTTGTTGGTGATTCTTTCCGGCCCGGCCATCTGATCTTCAGTATAGAGCCAGCGAAGACAGTTGTTGGTTGATAAAGGTCTGCAACAAGCTATTGGAAATATTCTTTGTGACCCGCCAGCCAAGTTTCTGATCCGTATAGAAGAACTGACTAACTTGACGTTTGTATTGAAAATCCAACCGAGTTTTGTCGTTGATGCTGAGTGACGAAGATTTCCAGATCGGTTTCAGGTTGATGAATGTGTTTCTCACCTTCCCGATTCTCGCTCGATTTGACATCCTCGTCCGTTCCCACCGCCAGTAGTTGAGACAATGGTCCGTAGATGGTGATTGACGCTGGATGTTGCTGCTGTTGTTGTTGTTGGTTGGTTATTTTCATCACCTCCGTCTTGTCTATGTTCATTTGGAGTCCTGTCTTTGCTGCTTCTTCGACCAGTTTGTCGGTTTTCGCTTGTAAGCCTTCGATTTTGTGTGACATCAAGCATAAATCATCCACTCGCGAAATCCAGGTCTTCTAGGTTCTTCGCGTCGGTCCAGGATATTCCTGTCTTCTCGTTTCCCACTGTCTGACGCATAATCCAGTCCACCACAATGAGGAATATCATTGGTGATAGTAAGCACCCTTGTATGACTCCTGTGTTTACTCCAAATGCCTCGCTGAGTTTTCCGTTGTGGATGACTTGACATGTTCTGTTGTCGTACAGCTGTTGAATAAGGTTGAATATTTTCATTCTGCTGCTTAGTTAAACAGACCACCTGTACTCTGATTTGTCCTATATCAGATAGGTGGTTGGAAGCAATCAATCGGCAGGAAATCTTGGATTTAGGTTTCGTGCTTGTTGGTACTTGTCAGCAAGGCGTGTCTGCAACTTTGAAGGAACTTATGTCCTCTCTGGGATTGGAACCCGTATCACTCAGTGATACAGTCAGAGATGTTACCATGAATATCCCTTGAAGATTGCAGATACGCCTTGCTGCCTGGAGAATGATAAGGACGAAGTCTAGGTCCAATGCTTCCTGCCGATTGATTGCCTCCAACCATCTTATAATAATAACTGTCATTCTACCATGCCTATCAGGTTAGTTAACTGAAATGCGCAATAGTAGTACTACTACATAAATTGTAGGTACTTCGGTATTGTTCTTGGCAATCGCCAAAAGTATGTGATCAATTTATCAATGGTGTCAACATCTCGTGAGTTTAAAATTATGCTATTTAATTATGCTAAAAACCCCCTGCCAAAACGTCAGTCGGTCAGCTGACTCAGTGTTTTGTGGTATAAGAAGTTACATTTTCAACTGAAGATGAACGTATCACTGTACTTGGCTGGCATACAGCAAATAATTCACGTTGTTTGTTTGCAATAGTCATTGCCCCCCTCCCCACCCAACTGACAGTTGTTTTTCTACGTATACGTTCAATCATCAAAATTGTCATAACAATGTCTAAATGTTAATGGTAGGTACACAGTGAATTTTATTTCTGTGTATATGGATAGATGGATGGATTGGATTAATGATAGATAATGATTTCTATGTATTTTTGATGTGGTTGTGTTCTCTAAGCTGGATAGTTGATTTGCGAAGCTTTCATCACCCTACTAGGTGACATCTTCAGCGCATACTTCAATTTGAAGTGAACTTTTAGATTTCTCCACGAGTTTATTAATCATCTCTCCTGGTGACTTTGGACGTGATTGGTTGGTTTCGTGTGTTTTCACACCTTCTAGGGAACTTGTATTGAAACTGATTGTTTCTGATTGAAAGTTCTGGAACTGATTGGGAGTTCAAGTCAAAGAAACAATCAGTTCCAATACAAGTTCCCTAGAAGGTGTGAAAACACACGAAACCAACCAATCACGTCCAAAGTCACCAGGAGAGATGATTAATAAACTCGTGGAGAAATCTAAAAGTTCACTTCAAATTGAAGTATGCACTGAAGATGTCACCTAGTAGGGTGATGAAAGCTTCGCAAATCAACTATCCAGCTCAGAGAATACAACCACATCAAAATCATCCACCTGAGCTACAAATCTTCTCTATCATATCTAAATGATTTCTATGTATTTTAGGAGAACAAGGAGACTGATTCTCCACTGAAACGTGTGAACCATGGATCAAGTAACTATTTGGATGCTCAGGATTTTGTAAGTACTTATAATTCGACATCTTAGATGATATACATATGTATGTTTTATTCTGTATAAAGTTTATTATTATTTTCAAGGATTTAAAAAAAAATTTTGACGATCCATTCCCATCACTAAAGGTGGTTTCTGGAAAAATCCCACTTTAGTTCATCGTATTAAAACAGTTTCAGTTATATGTAGGAGAAGTAAGCGAACTGTGCTTGAGATAATGACTTCGGAATGTGGTTTATAACCCTGAAGGCTATTCGTTGGCGTTGATACGATGTCCAGTACATCGACCAAGTGTGACAGGATGGAACTTTTTATCCTCTTGATTTCCTCTTTACTGAAACGAGTCGGTAAATATTCTCGGATTCGTAGAAAAACCTGCCTAATCGTACGCCCTGTATAACTTGAACCACAGGAACAGTTGAAGCGATATATGTGTAATGAAGAACTGTAGTCACGTTGGACTTCCTTCAGTTTCTGAGTGAATACTGGCTGGGTAAAATAAAGGAAGGATCACATGCGCAGAGTAGAAAGTTTTCTTTATCACTCTGGTTTGAAGTTAGGACAGAATATCCTCAGGAGTATATCCCTCGAGGTTAAGGTGCAAAAATAACGTCTTTTTCCCTTCCATTGCCGCTCAAATTTGAGACTGTTATAATCTGTGTTGGTATTTATATACTTCTCTGGATATCCATTTTCGCTTAGAATATACCAGATGATCTGGAGTTCTTGTTCTGCACAATCTTCGGAGCAAATCGACCTCGCTCTAAATGCTAAGCACCTGGTCAGGTAACGTTTATATTTTTCATAGGTGCGAAGCTAAGGAAGTGTGTATATTGAGCTTTGGTCTATAGCCTTCTAAATATGCCAGGTTCGTCTACGAATTCGAAAACATCTACCTGCTTGGTTCAACAAAGAGGAAATCAAATACGTAAGAAGTTTGATTCTGTGACACTTGGTCGATATGCTGGACATCGCATCGACTCCAACAAATAGCCTTCAGGGTTACAAACCACATTCCGTAGTTATTATCACGCACAGTTCGCCTACCTCTCCTACATATAACTGAAGCTGTTGTGATAAGACTGACTGGACCGGAACTTTGTATTCAAAAAAGAACCCGTTCAGCCTGTGACCAAACTTGGATTTAAATTTCTTTTCTCCAAGAGTGCCTCTTCCTCTTATCCATTCTTTGTTAGGTTTCACTTACTATTATTATTATTAATAATTAATACTCTTCATTTTAGTATTCTTTAAATACTATCCAATTTTCCATTTGTACTATCCTGATTTATTATTAGTAATATTATCTCTTTTCTCAATATATGCCTCCACCTGTTTCATTTCACGTATTAGTTATTCCATGATGATCTTTCCACTGCAGTCTTACTATACTATACTACAATACTTGAATGCCAATGAGATGCTCACTGGCGACTGCCCCTATTCAGGTAGGTAGTTAGCTGGAGTTCCAGTGGGAAGTCGTGACCAGTAGGGTGCAGCAGGTCGGGTGTGAGGACAAATACTCGCCGAAAACATTGGCTAACGGTTGCGCTATATCGTGAATAGGCAGAAGTTAGAACTCATGGGCCATTGAATCGGGTCCCAGTGGCTTAATGGTATACGAGCTCGTCTTGTAACCAGAAGGTCCTGGGTTCGAACCTTGGCGGTTGGTGCGTACTGATGAAGAGCCCCAAACTAGGACGAAACGCTGTCCAGTACTCCCTGATGGGTTTTCCAATGGTTCTCTAACCAATGTTAGCTCATGATGCAATCCTGTAACCAATCAACCAAATCCCTATAAACCAATACTTGAATATCTCCTCTTTAATGCATATTCCGGTGTACTAGCCAATCACTTGTGATACCTTGTCAATTTCCCTTCCCCACATTCTGCGGCTAGTCACCATTGTCGTATCGCATTTCGCAATAATTTGTATTTGAATTCTGATTAGTACATTTTTCACACAAATACTGGTTATTTTCTCACTCTGTAACAACTAATCTGTTTCTCTATGTGATAATTGATCGACCGCATAACTGCAGCCATTATCAGTGCAACAATAACAAATGTTATGTTTTCTGATTGTATGATTCTGAAGAGGGTTTATTGAAAAGAATATATTCTTCGTTTAGATTGAAGATTTTAATTCATGATATGGGAATATTTCACTATTAATTAAATCGTATAATTCTCCTAAGCATCCTATTGGATACAGAACTCCGCCAACTAGAACAAGCTAGATTCAGGAAAGGCAAATCATGTGTTGATCAAATGTGTTGCAACTCTCTACGCATCGTCATCACAGAACAAAGCATATAGTAGAATGACAGTCAAACCTCACTCTACCTCAAATTGATCGACTTCAAAAAGGCATTCGCCAGACAGCCTTGACCGAGACGTAATTTGGAAACTGCCTCAACACTATGGCGGGCAATGTCCAAGTGTTTATCAACCTTATTCAACAACTGACTATATGATAATGCTTGCCATGTGTGAGGTGATCAATCCATAAAGGGAAATGCAGCGAGGCGTTCAAAGTGCATACACGAGTAAGACAAGGCTGGTTGTCTATTATCATCGATGATATTCTTAATTGTGGTGGACTGGATTATGCGTCAGACTGTGGGGAGCGAGGAGACAGGAGTACGCTGGACCACCGATGAGAAGACTCTAGAAGATCTGGATTCCGCAGATGATATATGTCTAATGTCACACAAACTCGAAGACTTGCAGGTAGGCGAAAATCAACAAACTGATTAAAGCAGCTATCGGGCAGTAAAGACAGGACTCCAGGTGAACTCCAGGTGAATGAAGGGGATGAAGATAACTAACCAACAGCAACAACAGCCAGCACCACTCACCATCGATGGGAGAGATTCGACAGAGGTTACTTCCTCCACTTATCTAGGAAGCATCGTCTCAACCACAGGAGGACAGCACGGGTGAAGATGTCGAAGCCAGCCAGAATCGGAAAGGCAAGATACGCCTTCATCAACCTGAAACCAGTTTGGGAATCTTCTGCACTCAACATAAGGAGCAAGATTCAGATTTTCAACATCAATATCAAGTTGGTCCTTCTATACAAGTCATAAACTTGCACTGTGCGTCACGCAAAGGATTTCCAACAGGCTACTGCAGACTTTTAACATCATCTGCCCTCGCTCCATACTAAAGATCAAATGGCCAGGGGGTTAAGGAACAAACCAACCAAGAGCTGGTCGCTTAACAGGTATGTAGGAGAAAATGGAGATGAATGGATCAGGCATACATTGAGGAGACCGTCGAATGACATCTCTGTCTCACGTTAGGTGGTTTCACAAGATAAGTAATGTTGACGTTAGGCGTAGAGTGTTGGGCAAACAGGGAAAATCAATCGACGAGGTTATAAAGTTACATAGACTAAGATGGCTAGGTCACGTGGTGCGCATGCCTAACCACCGCCTCCCCCGACGGGCATTGCTAGCTGATGTAGGTGAAGGTTGGAAAAGAGCCAGTGGTGGCCAAACAAAAACATGGCATCAATCCATGAAATCCTTGACAGTTAAACTGAGTCAGGTAGGGAGATGCAGACTCCCGGGTCGGGGCCCTCGGGACTCTAGGAATCAATGGCTGGAGACAATAGGTGACATGGCTCAAAATCGTTGTCAATGGCGTAGATGTATTCAATCTCTGTAATCTTTCATATTCCTTTCTACCATTACCCATTCTGTTTCACTCCTATATTTGTCAAACTCTATTAATTCTCTCCACTCATCTTCTTGTCTACCTCTGTGTGCTATTTGGAAGGTGGCAACTCGAACTGCTGCACTTCGGTGCCAAGTTCTATGTTGAATCCAGACAGACATCGTGCGCCAGGCTATCGCTTGAGTGTAATCCAAATTAGAAGCGATGAGTGGGTCATTGGTGCAAGGGTGACATGGAGGAGATGAGAGATTGTGGGCAACCGTGGGCCAGGCTAAAGAGGACGCCAGAAGATAGGACAAAGTGGAGATGTGTTGTCGCAGCCCTATGATCCACTCGGAATGCAAGGGAATAATAATAAGCATTCTATTTCAATATCAGTCGGTCCCTACCAAAAATGAGCCTACATCTTATGATAATGGTAATAATCTATCTTGTGTGATGAAGCCTTATCCTAGACAAGGCAATCACAAACATTGAAGTCGGAAATTAGATTCTTTAAAGAATCAACATCAACTGAATCACAGCTAGATAAGCTAACTAGTTTGATCAATCAATTTCAAGTTTCATAAAAAAAAAGTTATTCGCATAACTTTTATATGGCTCCAATCGATGACCCCAATATAGTCGTCTGTTGACCATATTGTCTGAGATATTACATTGAAAAAGAGACACACAACTGTGATCTAAGTTTTCAGACGTCTAGATGACGGCGGCAGAGGAGCGTGTTATTGACTGGCTTTACTTGATTTGATATAGGTTTTTTTGCATGTCTTTTCATCATATTTTTCTTCACGTAACTCTTCTTTCAATCTGATTGATGCTCACTAGTCACTGGCCCTATTCAGGTAGACAATTACCTGGGTTCTAGTGCGAAGTCGTGACCATTGGGATACAGCGGGTTAGGTATGGGGACAAATACTCTCCACCGATGACATTCGCTAGTGGTCTCACCATATCGTGAATTGGCAGAAGTTGGAATTCATGGACTAGCCACTGGATCGGGTCCCAGTGGCTTAATGGTCTACCAGCTAGCTAGCTCACCTTGTAACCAGAAGGTCCTTGGTACGAACCGTGGGGGTCGGTACGTACCGATGAAGAGTCCTAAACTAAGCTGACGAAACAGCCGCCTAACGGTTGTCTGACGGATGTCAATTCATGATGAAATCGTAACTCTTCTTTCTTCATGTATATTTTGTATACGGATATTTAGCTTATTCAACTTCCAGTATTCATGTAAAACAAAAGACTAAAGAGCATTATTATCCTTACTCTCATTCATTCATCAATCACACACACATACATATACCCGCATTGACTATATGTAAAGATATTTCACTTCTGTTATATAAATTTGACTTAATATTTAATTAAATTATGCAAATGAATGTTCTGGTTTGCAAACCATTATAGGTTTTTTTTTAAATAGAAATTATAATAAATGATTTCATTTAAATAAACGATGAATATGTGAGTTTCTATGCCTTGAAAGGAGTATTGAACCTGAAATTGTTTTATTGACAATCGAAGCCAATGAGTTTGCTTTATATTTAAAGTTAGAATATAAAGTGGCTTCAAGCCTGAGCTTTGAAGTCTCAGTAACCAACTATGTTTCTTTTTATGGGGTGAGGTTGATAGCCCCGCACCCGATCTTCCCTATTTGTCAGTCTTACTATCGATTAAGCAATGTGTAGGAGTACATCAATTGAGAATCGAACCGTGGACCACGTGTGACCTAGTTGGTGAGTGTTCTACCACAAAATCATCGATGCTACTGTGTTTGAAACTTCATACGAACTCCTGTATCTTGTAAAATGTGACATTTTCTTGAATCTAAATCAAGTACACTTTGTTACTATAGTAAGTACTATAGCCAGTTTGCTCTCTCTGACTATTCAGAAATGGGAATACACTGTGGAGCGATTTTAAATCACGTGACTCAGAAAAAAGCATACACTCACGTAATGACCTTAGGGTTAGTCTGTCGGTCATCTGGAAGTGATGTCTGCAAGGGATAGTCTACTTTCAGCACTCCTCTTCATTTCCCCCATTATTATAGAGATAATCTGGTATACTTTGAAGTTTAGATCGATTGTTTAAGCAGGATACTGTTTATTTATTTGTTTGTTTGTTTTTTGAGCCAATTTTGATTTTCCTGTTGATTGAATGAACCAAAATTATTCGTTCTTTGTTGTTGGCTTGTTTACTCCTGGTTAGTTAGTGCTGACGTCATATCAACGAGGAAATGAAAATCGGATTAAAAACAAATAATAACTGACGCCTGTTACACAAAAGGTGTGGCTCTCGTGACCCAAATGGTCTAGGGGGTAACGTTTGGAGTTTAAAACGATGGGTGATGGGCGGGTTCGAGTCTCAGTGGGTGAGTACCATCACTGACTCACTGGAGGAATGCAGGTACATCGAGATGGAACGAAATGCACGTCGTCCCAGATTCCACCATCCACCAACTTACATCGTGGAGAGATTGTCTGGTCTGTTTGGAATAATAGGCAGTTGATGTGTGACCTTGCTAATTATGCACATGATGGCAGGATATAGTTGGGAAGTAGAGAAATATGAAGTAAAGCGTAAAGCTGATAAATTAGCCCCTGATATCCTTTTCAAATGTTTGAAATTTTATAAAGCCTAACTTGATTGGTGGTTTAACTATTTAAGGTGATGGATGAACCAAGCACATGTTAAAAAGTTAAATTTTTTTATTCTTTCACGTTCTCAGTGGAACATAGGGGGCGCCTTCAAGCTAGAGGTTTGAAGTTTCTGTAGCAGTGGTGTTTATTTTGTTTTTACTGGATTGGGCTGCTAGCCTCAAACCCAACCTTCCCTCTTGACAGGTCTTATTACTGGCTTATCGAGGTAAAGTGCGTCGGTGGCCGGGGTTCGAACCCTGGGCCACGTGCGTGGTTGGCGAGCATTCTACCTCTGTGCCACCGACGCACATTGAGTTGTTAAATAGAGAAGATAAACACTGACTGCACCTGTAACTATAAACCCGAGTGGTTGGGTTATATCTTAATTTGTCTGTTAGGGTCACAGGTACAGGTGTATTTTTTAAACATATTATAACAGCAGAAGATGTTAGAGAGAATTGATGATAAACCACTTTATTAAGGAAAAATGCATCACACTTTAATGCATTTTTAACTACACTAATAAAAGTCAGCTATAGGTCAGCGGACTGTTCTGATTGGTTGGCGATTGGCTCAAGGTTAGACAAAGGGACAAAAAGTTGTCCAATCAGATTATTTTGCTGACCACAGCGTAAACCAAATCCACATTTGAGGAATGCACATTTCTACCTCTCCAGCTATTGACTTAAAGTGTTGATTTCCTTACAATGTCAGTGAGGATAAACAAAAAAGTGGCATTTTTTAGCCTCGCAGAAGGGATGAGTAATTAATATTATGTAATACAATCTTTGTCTTTCATTTTCTAATTCATGTCTATATATATATATATATATTATTGTATTGTGTATTTCAGAATGATCCCAGTTGGAGTTCACACACGTCCTATGTAACAATTTCCGATGGAAGTGACCAGTCAACACCGAATGCTAATTCCTCAGCAGATGATACATTCTATCAGAGTAATACATCTTTAAACTCGTATACATCTGCATTTTCACCAGTGTCATCTACAGTCGATGGAGGTGGAGAAAGTGAACCATCCGCCACCACCACCACCACCGCAACACCAACAAGATGAAGAAATAATATCAAAAAAGAAAAAGAATACAATCACCTTAGTCTATGCACCAGAAAAATCATCTACCCAATTGATGAATTCACCCTCTCCAGCGTCATCACCTGTTGTAACACCAACATCATCCGGTGTAAAAGAAATCACAATTCGTTCAAATTATACCCCATTGAATGAAATGGATTCATTATCAAGTACACAAGAGACTACATTATCCTCTTCATATACGAATAATGAAAGCAATGCTGAATTAAATAATCTATCGAATTCTTTATTTATGTCCACTGATAAACAGAATAATGATGACAGTTTACCAGATAAGATTTTAGAGTTCAAAGATCCACCAATTAATAATAATGATGATAATGAACGTAAATATAATATTTCAATCATTCAACAGTCCGAACCAAGACTTCGACAACAACAACATCCAGAGGAATTATCATCAACATCTTTAGAAGGAATAGACAATTTGTCGAGTGAACCTTCAGAAAATAATGATCAAAGCATAAATTCTTCTAGTAATAATAGTAATAATCAAATTAGTAATGATAATATTGACGCAACTTTGTCAAATTATCAATCTTCATTATTTAAACCAATCATATCTTCAGAATCTGATGTGAATCCTATAAAAAATGAAGCATCAACAGTAGATAACCCTTTTATTGATTCAAAAATATCGTCTAGTAGTATTACGGATGATCATAATAATCGTCATGCTGATGGTGACGGTGATGTAGTATACAACCTAATTTATCTGATATTATTGAAATGAACTCAAGACAAGATGATGAAATTGTTCAGACTGTTGTCAATATTAGTGATGAATACCGTGGAACAATAAATCGATTCAATGATAATCATATCCCAGCTTATTTAGATCGTTGTTCACCAGCACAAATTGTTGCTGTCACCGGTGGTGCACCATTTGATATTATACGTAATATTGAAGAAGATTTAGACGATGATGAAATCAATGCAAATAATGTTGAAATTGTTGAAGTGTTAAAACAGCCGAATGATAGTGGATCATCATTTTCACCGAGTAATACAACTATTATTGATAATAATAATAATCATTCAACTTTATCGACAAGTTCTAGTAGTAATGTTGTTAGACACCGAGGGCATAGTTTAGAAACATCGAAATCTCAACGACCAGTCACCATCAATATTGATTTACGAGTAAGTGAATTAATTTATTATTATTTTTTGATTATAGCTTGATTCCACACAGCTCTTTTGGTACAAGTATGAAATTTTCAGCATATGATATTGGTAGCACAAATTTTGCAGGCCCTGACCATAGATATCATTTATTTATTTATTTAAACGCATAAAAAACTTGGTACAATATGGCACCAAGAAGGATGCGCCACACAATAATAATAAAACAACATAGATCAAAAGAAAAAATATGAGTAGAGCACGGAAAAAGAACTTCATCTGAAAGGAAAACAGTCATGCTTAACAAGTTCAAACAGTGTTCGTTAACTGTCATCGCGAAGGGAAGAAAGAAGGAAATTGCAACACGTTCGCCATTGACTACGATTCTTGGCCATATCCGATAACGTTTCGAGCCATCGATTTGAGCTATCTCTCGGACCCCAACCAGGGAGTCGTGACACACCAACCGATGCTAATCTAGCACAAAAATCCTTCATCCCACGACGCCACGTCATGGACTGACCACCTCTCCGCCTTTTCCTCCCGTCCCAGGGCTGGTTAGCGAACAGAGACCTGTACGAAAGCCTCTGGCATGACATTCGTAGCACATGTCCAAGCCACCGGAGCCGGTGTTTCCAGATGACGACACTCAATGAATGGTGATCTCCACTGTGTTCAAACACACGCTGCCGAACCTCAGAATTACTCACACGATGATGCCATCCATCGAACGCAAGCGATCCTGCGGAGACAGTGGTGATCGAACACGCAGAGTCGCCGCACATCCTCAGCCTACTCGGAGAGGCCAGGTTTCACAGGCGTAGAGCAGGGCAACCCGCACCGAAGCATTGTATACCCGACCTTTGACAGCCAGGCTAACGTCGCGACGGCTCCAGGGTGGCTCAAGTTGATGTATGCCACCCTAGCCTTCATTATACGGTTGGAAATCTCATCCATCACACTCACACAACTGCCCAGGTACACAAAGTTATCTACAACTTCAAGCGGTTCACCTGCAAGAGTGAGTGCAGGTACAGGCTCCTGCCAATCTTGTAACAGTACTTTGCACTTAGACGGCGCAAAGCACATACCATACTTAAAGTCACTGATCGCCAACTGATTATGTGCGATTTGGGCAGCCTGCATGCTATCGCACAGTAAGACGCATCGTCTGCATACTCGAGGTCGAAAAGTCTATCTCCAGGTAGCAGATCTACACCACCTTCACGCACATCCTTCAGAGCTGACTCCAGAATGTCATCAATGGCAAAGTTAAAGAGAAATGGAGAGATTTGGCAACCCTGTGTAACCCCACTGTTGGTTGGGAACAGTGTTAGTTGGTTGTATGCCCTCACTTTACCCGAGGTGTTTCTGTATAGGGCTTTCAAGATGTTAACAAATTTCTCAGATACGCCTCTCTCTAACAGACAGTTCCAGAGCACATAGACCACATGGACTATAGATATCAGGTGTGCGTGTCGGCAGGGGATCGAACCCTGGACTATGTGCATGATCGTCGAGAGTCCTAACCGTCGAATGTATATATGCTGTTTCCATTTTGATTGAATCCTGCCTAACCTTTTACTGGTTTATTCAAGTGTGTTGTCTTCTTCTATGTCACCTGAAAAGATTTTGACTATTCAGTAATTTTTTTGTTTTTAAAAGTGGAGATGTAGTTCATTGACTTAATCACCCGAGTTCCAGACAAATGGGATCTCGATTCGAACCCATCTCCACCTATTTTTTAACCTGGGCAACTAGGACATGAAAAACCTCTTTCGGGAATCGAGTCCAAGCAATATCAATAATAATACCAGCTTTATTCTGGGCAGTGGTTATATAATGCACAGAATTTTCAGCGGAATTTATTGCATAATAAATTCTCTTCATCCAGTATCTTCAAGTAAAGCGTGACACATTGCTGTCTGACATGAAGCGAAAACCAATCCTGCGAAGTTCAACAATAGCGTCCCAGGAGTACGAACGCTCCAGTCACCTTGAATGCATGCTAGCTGAAATACCAATACTATTCACCAGCTAAGCAGCAAACTTCCCCGAGATCACGTTTTTAAGTACTGTTTCAACAATGTGTTAATAGCTCGTTAGGTTTAGGATTAGGGTTAAGGTGGTAAGTAATGGGGTTAAGGTGAGAATCAGAGTTATAATTAGGGTTGAGTTCACGGTTAGGGATTAGTGTTAAGTCTGCGGTTAGGGTTACGATTAAGGATAGATTTAGAGTTGATGTCATTTATTTTTATTTGTTTTATTATTCACATTTTCCTGGTAATTAGTCGTCGACCCTCTTACTGGTCACCATAGTAATTCAACTGATGGCTTTTGAGGAAGACTGCACAACAGGGTGAGAGAGATGAACGATCCACAAAAACAGTTCATTTTTAGTCACCTCGGTGAATATATGTACAGAAACTATCTAACTTAGCAACTGAGACGTATTTTTAAGTCATGTCGGAGAAAGATACCCTGTTTGTAATGTGTTTTCATGCATTTTCTTGTAAATATACGTCAATTTTTTGTGCAAAAATTCCTCATTTTTATGATTGGTCAGCTGAAGGTCAGTCGTGCGTTCTCATCCTTTGGGATGCTATTATTGAACTTTGCCGCCAATCCCTTATGGTATTTCTGTTTCACCGCTTTCAAGAAATGCACGATATTTGGTTAAAAGCCATTTTTAAAAAATGCCCAGGAGAACATTTTGAGATTCGAGGACATAACTGAATTGAATAATTAAAGACTTCAGTTAGGCAGGTAGGTTTATTTCTCAGACACAGTGGCACTTTGTACTCTAAAAATATCATGAACAGTTCTCTCATGTATTTGGATACATTGGCACCAACGATTGTGCTTTTTCTCAAGTATACCAGAAACCTAGGAATCAGAAAGTTGTAAAAATTCCAAATACTCGCGAGGGTGAACAATACCACTAGGGGTGATATTTTAAAAGATTAAAACAAACTGAACAAGACAAGTTATATGCAGTATGATGATGGGGGGTTTAATCAGGCCGCTGACGATTATTTTCTATTATAACATAATTTTTTTTCATTTTTATTTGGATACGTTATGTCATTATTCTTTGCTACCCGACTTCATCATACATGTAGAATTTAGGGAGGCTTATAATAGTTATTTCTAATTTTTCGTATTCCGAGTGGGAACACAAAGCCTCAGAAGCAAATTCCCGTTGCCCTTGGCTATCTGGCATCCCTTCCTATCGGTGGTCTCACAGCTGCCCACAAGTTTTCATTCGCTCTTCACATATCACCACCCTAGGATGTCTAGCCCATCGCTTCGTGGCAAGTTTCCAATGGAGAGGCTGTCTGGTTGGTGTGTGATGTTGCCTCAGAGTAAATCTGATCAATCTTCATTTTGCTTTGCTTTATTTGTTTAGCAATAGGTTGTTGGTTAGTTAGTTTGTTGCCACCAGAGTTCCTTTTGTGGCCTATCTTTTCAGAATTATAGTAACTTAAACTTCTCAGAGATTTATATGGTACTAAGAAGAGAACTCTGTGTGTCTCATATTATATATTATAATCATATTTCAGAGAATCATATTAAGAAAAACTAGATGAATACAGTACGACTTAATCTTTAACGCTAGACGAGATATCCGACTATCAACCAAAGGGCGTGTGTACTGCTCATCAGTCCGCTCCGTCCTCCGTTATAGCTGTGAGACCTGGCCACTGAGAGTGGAAGACATGAAAAGATTAGCTGTCTTTGATCATAGAAGCTTGCCTTCTGTCTCCCGTGCGAAGTGGCATAATAAGGTGAGCAATATTGAGGTTAAGCGTCGGTCGAGTGTTAGGTAAGGAGGGGAAGTCAATCGACGAGGCCGTGAAACTACATCGATTGAGATGGTTAGGACATGTGTTACGTGTTACGAAGGTGATTGAGTCTTAGAACGATGAGTGATGCTTGAATCTTGAAAAGACGAATGAACCAAGAATTTAGGCTTTATTCATTTTACAATGAAGCCGGAATGGCTTAAACATATAAAGGAAAAAAAGAGTGTTAATAGCGGTAGAGATATGAATATGACTAGATACGTATTATAAGAAAAGTTCACAACATTCACTGCGGCTTGAAAAGGAATGAGCCATTATGTCACGCTTCTCTGGTACGCAAATTGTAAGGCCGTACACGTTGTTGTTTTTCCAAAAGAATACGCCCGTTGTTCGTTTCAGTTGTATTTTCTTCACGAAGAATATTAGGATCAGTGGTCGCATCCCCATTTACTTGTTGCTCAGGAATTGCGTCGCCCTCCGGTATTGAATTTTCAACTTGATCTATATCTTCGCCTTTGGGTGCCAGATGATGAAGAGCAACTGTATCTTCACGTCCATTACCGAAGCGAACGTGAGCGAATTGCGGGTTACAATTCAATAGCTCCACCTCTTCAACCAGGGGATCGAATTTGGACTGACGAACACTCCGCCGGAGAAGTACTGGTCCTGGTACAGTGAGCCAAGTAGGAAGAGTTGTCCCAGATGTCGATCTTCGGTTATAGGTAAACAGTCGTTCGTGTGGCGTGGCGTTCGTTGCAGTACAGAGCAAAGATCTGATGGAATGCAAGGCGTCGAGTAGAACAGACTCCCATTGTGCCGTTGGTAGGCCCCGTGATCTTAATGCTAGAGTGATGGCACGCCAAAGTGTTCCATTGAGGCGCTCGACCTGCCCATTGGCTTGAGGATTGTATGAGGTAGTACGACTGGTTGCTACGCCTTTCTCCAGAAGAAATGCCCGTAATTCGGTAGACATGAAAGCAGCGCCTCTGTCGGTATGTATGTAAGAAGGCATACCGAAAATCGAAAACAGTTGGCAAAGGCAATTCATTACCGTTTGAGACGACATGTCGGGGCAGGCGAATGCAAAGGGGAATCGAGAATATTCATCGATCAGCGTGAGCAGATAGTGATTGCGGCTAGCTGACGGTAGAGGTCCTTTAAAGTCGATGCTTAACCTTTCAAAAGGTTGGGTTGCTTTTATGAGTTTGAAAT